ATCTGTAAGAAATGTCCACTTGGAGCTGGTCTCATTCTCTCTGTGTCCCAGTGTCTTTGTGTGTCTCTGTTTGTAATAGAACTGCAAAGGTCTGTTCCACTGATAACAAATTCAGAAAGTCATTAAACCAGCTCTCTACATTGAAATCCTCCACATTACTTTCTCTCAGCTTGGCCGATGGTAATACCATCATCCTGGGTTTTGACCCCGTGTTTTGAATTTGTTTGCTCTTGTTCTTAGTTCACTGAGTGTTGGTTCCTTCCATGTCCAGTTTGTCTTAGTCTTGCTTCTGTGTGTCTTCTCCAGTATCTCCTTTGTTAGTTTTCTGTGCCTCACTGTGAAGTTTGTCTCTCAATGTTTCTTCGCCTGTTCTCCCAATCGTGTCTCGGTGTGATTTCTCTCACTCTCTCTGTCCCGTGCCCTCGCATCCGTGTCTCTGTCTTCTCCCTCTGTTCCCTGTATTTAGTCTGTCTGCATCTCGGTGTGAGTTTCTCTTGTTTCCCGTTTTATTCTGACAGTCTCTTGTCCTGTGTGCATCTTGTTCAGTTTTGCTTTCCCTGGCTCATCAGTTAGATTATGTGCAGCCGTGTTTCCCAGGTGTTTCCTCTCTGCCCTGATTCCCTGTGGTGTATATATTGTCTGTGTCTCCTGTCCATTGTCATGATCTCCCTTCCTCCCTGGCTGGTGTTCTACTTGTTAGTCTAGACTTGTAGTTTATACGCAGTTTTAGCTTTATTACCTGTAATTCCAGATAAAGCTGTGGTGTTTTGGTTCAGTTCTGTCTGTGAGAGTCCTGCATGTTTGGTCCTGCCTGCCTCACACAGTGTTATGACCCTGTGCACAGGTTTTGGTTGGAATATGGTCATTTGGGTAATCTGATGATCATTTCTAGGGTTTCCACAATGAAACACAACCATAACATTGTAATAATTACAATAAAAACTTATTTTTTTAGAAATTTTTCACACAGTTACAAAGTGTTTCACAGTTTGAAGTTACGGATGTTCTAACATAAAAACATCCATACATGCATTAGATGTAGATTATGGCCAAAATAATCGGAGAAAGATCAAGGAAAACCTAACCTATATATAGGAGTTGTCAGGAGTCAATTAAAACAAACCACAGATTAAATTAACTTTACAGGATTAGGTGGTCAGAGAGGCTAACTGCTGTTATAAGGTCTTAGCAGCCTTCCTATATAAGCAATGTACAGCTCTACAAGTTAATAATAGAAATTCAGTGTGAACTCTGAATTTCAATGGAAGTCATTAAAGGAAAGCTACAATAAGAGCGATGTGTTTGTGCCCTCTAGTTGTTGCTGTTGACTAGTTGCAGCATTCTGGCACATTTGAAGACAGGCTAGGGAGGACTTACTGCTACTGTCATTGAAATGACTGAATAATAGTAAAGGTTGGATTTTTGTGATGTTTCATAGGAGAAGGAAACAAGTTTGGAGGGGCTTATTAACCGATAACTGATCTATATTTGAATGTGTGATCAAGCAGCATTGTAACTCATTCACTTTTTAAAAAGTAATCGCACACTTGTCTCTCCCTTCATGTATCCTTCTGACTCGTTTTGAGTTTTTGATTCAGGACACACTTGATTCTGTTTCCTTTGGTATCAAT